GGCGCGCAGGGACGCGGAAATAGAAGGCGGGGAGGGTTGGACTCGAAACGTGAAAGGCTGAGAAGCCGCTACGCGGAGCCTTCGCTCACACGGAAGGCAGAGAGCGCCGCCGTTAAGCATCTTTATCTTCTGGAGATGAAGGTCACACAAAGGCTAGCACGACCTGTGAGTTATTGAATGTTGTGAAACAGCACCAACTACGGGGTAAAAATTCAGTAAAATGCCGGGATTTTTTTTTTTTTTTTTTAAGAACGATGTCAGTTGAACGCTAAGGATTTAGTTCACACTCCAGAACGGGGCCAGTCTCACACGGCAGTACCCTGGGGCACAACCCTGGCGTCCATTTCACGTCTCCCAAAGTTTGCAAACGCTTGGCAGCAGGTACACCACCAGGTTACAGGTGCGGGGCCACGCTGACCAGGCTGGCCTCTGAGCCCAGCACGCTGCGGCCGCACCCTTCTTGTCACCGCGGGGTCATGCTGCAGGATTGCAGAGCCTGGACGTAAGCAGGAGCTCTGCCGGTCCGTCGGGCAGACGAGGCGGCAGCGTTGCTCCGTGGCCAAGCAGCAGACAGGCACAGAAAGAGGGCAAGGGGCTCCTTACTCCCTACAGCTGGCATTTGTGCAGCTTCCCTCCTAGACCTGCGAGGCTTAAGTAGTTAGAATCTAAGGGTTGCAAGAGAGCTGTGAAGGTGAGTTAGGGGAATTTAATCTTTTTACCAAGTTCAGCTCGTAACTATTACAGCCCTAAACATTCACATCATGACTGCATTTTGCTAAATTGGACTGGCCGCGTACAGGGATGAAGCATTTCAAAGAGTTCAGCCTAGAACAAACACAAAATCAAATATAAAAAATAAAATATTCTTTAAAATTATTGAATTCTGAAATAAATTGTTAGTCTGTCAGGCTGAACTGTAACAGTTTATTCAAGCCTTAAAAGAAAGGTGTTGATGATTTTAGAATCAAGAAAGTGACATACTTGCATGCGTTTAAAAATATTTTATTGTAAGATGCCGGGTTCCAACTCTTTCCAGCTCTGGACCTTCACTGTGCCGGTACACACGCCTGAAGAAGTGACTGTTGTTCCTCAGAGTTTTCCCAGCAGCCTCCATTTTACCGATAGATTCTTCGTGGCTCACGCAGAACGACACCACCCTCCTCCACAGCTTTTTCGAATTCCTGAATCTTGTTAAAAAGATAGAGACACAGATAAGTACAAAGAAAAGCCATCAGCACCGACATATCAGTGGGGACAGGTTACGTGGAGGGGCAGAGGTTAACAGCCTCACTGATGCACAATGCCAGGAATCGCAGCCTGCCAAAGCTACCCTTCTGAGTGCTGCAAGAAGGGATTGCCAAGCCACGTAAGAAAACTAATGGTGAAGAGTAGAATTAATGCTTAAAAAGGAAAAGAGGCCAAACGAGCGTCAGGAGATGGGTACTTGCCGAGTCACAGCGATGTTCCCAGGGGATAACGGCTTTAAAGTTCACAAAGTTGATTCCTGCTTCCAAACAGCGCTGTGCCATTACGCGGCCAAGGTTTTTGCATGCTGTTACTCCCTTGGGACTGTAAAGGTGTCTCTTTATGGCCCACTCTCGGGTAGAGGCAGATACCACAACATCCCCGTTACAGCGCTCAACAAAGGCTTCCACATAATGCTGTGTCCGCTCAAGCCGTAATCTGAGTGACGGAAAGAAATAACACAGATTTATGATGTCTTTTCCAGATCTGAAGAGAGAACACATTCGAATGCTTAAATGCACGTGACTCACTTTAAATAAAACAATGCACTGGAGCTATTAATACAATAATGATTTTTTAATATTGCTTTTATTATCTTATCTAGGTTTTTGCTTACTTTATTAGAACATAAAATAGGACTCATTTTACCAGTTCAACAGAGTGAAATTCACAGAGCGACTTTTCACCAGTTACGTGGGTGACAGCCCTACGCTGCCTTACGCCAGCGCTCACTCCAAACCAAGCACTGTATACCTGCACAGTCTGGTAGGGGTGCTTAGGAACTAGATCAGGGGAGCTGCTCCAGCAGAAATGTAACCCTAGGTTTGCTATGCAGTCTCGTAAAGGCTTCTGCTTACACAGCAGGTAACCACTTGTCAGGATCGGCAGGCGATCAAGCAGTACTTCATAAGCCGTAACACACAACCACAGAGCATTAGCGGCAACTATTTTCTGTTGCACTGAGACAATATCGGATTTCCAGGTATGAACAAAGCAGGCGTGGTTCCCCCCTCAAGAATAAAATCATGATTTTGAATCCCCAGCTTAAAATGAACTTATCTTCCAGAGGACAAGCAATCAGGATTTTCTGAAAAACCACCCAGACTATTACGGTGCCTCAAATAAAACAATGATGCATGGTCAGCACAGGTCTAGGAGACTCCCAAGTTCCCAGCACGGGGCTCATCTCTGGATGGATCCCTATGGAGACGGTGATGCATGATGTCTCTCTCACCAAGACTAACAGCACCCCATGGGCGATCCCCTTGCCTGGCTGGACCGTACCTCACTTTCTTACCACTTCACGCAGTAGCTTGTCCTGGATTTTATGTTCTAGAAACTGCTGCTGTAACTGCGAGTCTTATACTGGAGGCTGTGTTTTTATACTGTATTTTTGTACCACTTTTTGAGAAGTATTGGTAAAGAGTTTGCTTTTTTTTTTACACACACATATATATAAAAAACAACTGGTTTTTTTTTAATACATGCCTTTTTTTTATATATATATAAAAATGCTGCTTAAGCAATCTTACTGCTATCTTAACAATAGATGGAAAGATCTTCAACGCATACGCTAACTTTCAGGTGATGATAGCCTACTGTTCTCTGAACACAGAAGATACCTGTTAATTAAGAACAACTAAGGGGGGGTGACTGAGTCAACAACCCAAAAAGCAAATTTGGAGAAATTCCACCTGGTTTGGGGGGTTTTTTTTATTTCTTTTGGAGTCTTCATTTCTGCTGGTGACTTTCTGACTCACCTATGCCAGAATTCACGCTTTGGCCACGTTGTCTTCCAGCCACGCTCCTTCCTAGCCAGGGCCAACTGCTCCAAGTTCCGAGGATTCCTGTTAGTGAAGTCTGGGGCAACAATCTCATTTTCGCTTGTGTCCGCTTCTGTCTCAGTTCTGAGACTGGCTGTAGTTGATGCAAAATGAAGACCTTGAGGGAAAGCAGGAAATAAAACGCCACAGACTTAAAAAAAATATATAGCGCAGACAGTAGAACAAATACAATACAGAATGATACAGCTTGTAAAAGTTAGCAGGGCAAAACCAGCTTTTTTTTTTTTAAACACTAAATAGATGGATTACCAGAGCTCAACCTGTTTCTCCAATTTATGAGGTGAACTGTATGCTAAAAATGAAAAGTACATTAAGTTTTTAATAGTGGTTCAAAACCCGTGCATAAAATATAAATTCATGCATGACTAGAAGACCCCTAGAATTAAGGCTTTACAAAATACTGAAAGTGAAGGACACAAAGAACCGATAACAGCGCTACCAAATGACAAAGTAAAAATCCTCAGTCCTATCAGGCTAATCATCGCTAATTAAGCTAACAAACGCGAATTTGCAATTAGGCTCGTAAACTCACTCTGCTACACTTTCGGTCCGGAGAGGCAGGGAGAACCTCTCACCAGAGTGACGGGCAGGGTCTCTCTTTG